ATCATACCATGTGGGAGACTTGAGGCTTCAATTAAGATTATTAGTGTATATGGATTCCAGATTAATGGAAGACAAGTCTTTACAGTGATGTTTTTCTCTAATAAACACACATAATGATTTTAAGAACCAAGGTTAATCCAAGAATGATGGCTAGTTCTTGAAGTCCAGTTCCTTGCTATCTTTGCAAACATACCCTAAAACCCCACTCATAAGCAGAATTTTAAGAGCTGTTGAACAGGTTATTAGTGTTGAAAATGAGTGCTTTAGTTCTCACACTGGTGTTCAGAGATGTTGCAGGAAAAAACAGACTATCGATATGACAGAAGATGTGAAAACCCACCTCTTCGAAGCTCTGTGGTTCTGGCAAGCAGATATGAACTCCATATTAGTATGCTGTATAAATATTACCTCCTTTATTCTTTAAATAGGTATAAAAATGAAGCACTGGTTCAAAGCCATGACATGTTTTGTTGTTATGTTTTCTCAGTAGATGCAGAATTGCAATTTCATGGCTCCTGTTTGAGGAGAGAAGGACATTTTTGTGCTGTATTGAGGGGAGAAGTAAATTCCAGATTAAATTCAGTGTTACAGAGATACCTATTGTTTGTGAAGAAACTGAAAGCTTTATGGGCCACTGAGGTGTTCTTAATGGCTTTTGAGCAATGGGAGTGCAGTAAAGATGGAGGCCTTTTTCTTTCTTTCACTTTTAATTCTGCTTGAGTATAACAGGCTCTGCTGCAACCTTAACTGGCATAGATGATCCTTTTTCTTAATAATAAACAAACAAGGTCCTTCTCAGATTAAAATCTAGTCTGAATAGTACTGTATTGAATACCCCTTGTGCGGATTTTGCTTTTTTTCTCATTCTTTACCTAGGGGTATAACAGCATTAAAAATACCATGCTTTGTTTTAGCAAATGCAGTGTTTTAGTGGATTTGTTTTACTGTAAGTATTGTTTAAGCTAGATGAGGCAGGTGAAAGAAACACATTTTGTTCATGAAATGGAAAATAGCATTTTTTATAATTCTTGTTCTTGCAGGAGTTTCTTTCCCAATCTTCCATAAGCTCTGAAGAAATTTTTTACTTTTGCAATATAATTTCTGGGTTTACAGTAGAGACATCTCCACACTGTTAAGAGTGAAATCTGAGCTGTGGTTGTCCTCAGACAGGTCCAGTCAAGCTAGTAGATGCTCTAGGCCCAGGCCTCTTGGCATCTCTAGCAGTCTTCAAACATGTAAGGGGCTGCATCAGGAAAGAACTAAATCCTCTGGTTTCAGTTTTCAGCAATTATGGGAAGGAAAAAAAATTATATAGCAGCATAAGAGATTTAAGGTAGGCATCAATAAGGTACTTACATGTGAGAAAGGTTGCCTGAAAGGACTGTAGAATCTCATTTATCTGAAGATTTTTTAGGGCCAGGTTGACAAATATCTGTTAGAAGTAATATTTGTATAAATTAACCATGTATGTGGACAGATGGACTACATAAGTTTTAGAGATCCATCCTGACCGTGTATTCTGTAATTAAGTGTTGAAGACTGAAAGCTTAAACACAGAGGGTTTTTAGGCATTTACTGAAGCAAGCAGGAGGATAGGTTTGATAAACCCTGAGGGATCCCAGTTGCCAAGGGGATACGCAACAACATAGCATCAAGGAAAGAGTCTGCCCAAGCCCACCGACGCAAGAGTCTGAGGAGCAAATCTAACAGATTCTTTCTAGTCTGACTATGGCGTGAGCTATTCTATTTTGAATTCTTTCAAGAAGCCTGCTATTACTCACACAGACACACATACATACACAGAGGCATGTACTGATGGTATAACAGAACAGTGACATGGTCTGTTCTAATCCTGGTTTAATTAGAAAAAGCCTATTAGAAAATTGCCCGCAGTATGGCATCAGTGCATGAAAATTAAGATTTATTGTGATTGTCAGAAGAAGGGCTCAGAAGACTTGTTTGGTGCCAGTAGCTATTTTTTATTCTTTGTTTTCTAATATAAACATCAATTTGAATCTGCGCAATTTTCAAGTATTAATTTCTAATGTAATAGATAGGTTTAAAAGCAAGCAAAAATAATCACTCAGCAGGAGTAATTTCAAGATGAACTGTAAACCCATTCAAAATCCTACTTACTAACTGTATACATTTTTTTTAAATGGTCTTTACCTGACCCTTCAGACCTGTGACTAAAAATGTAGTGTTAGGACACTTGCAAACTTGTAGATTTTACTTTGTTTTATGTAATACTTTGTGCTATCCTTAGTACAAAAGAAAAAATAGTGAGAAGCAGTCAGTCAAAATGCAGAGCTTGACGAGCTGTACAGGTGTGGAACTGAAAGAACAGGGGTTTAAACTTTATACAAATTTCAACTAAACACAGAAGTCAAGAAACCTTGAATATGTTCCCCAAATTTATGTGGAATAGGAGTTAAAGCTTGATTAGGAGGATCCATTCATAATTACTTTGGCCTCCCCTTTCCGTACTCCTTGAACATAACCAGCTAGAAATTGCTACCATAAAATTTCCTGCTGTTGAAGGCACTTAAGGCATCTGTTGCACCTGCTTTTTTTCTTTCTTTTCTCCTTTTTGTCATACCATATAATTTTTGATACACTGTAGATTTTATATAGCTTTTGGCCTTTAAGTTTTAAGCTGGTTAAAAGGTTTTGAGGGCTGTTTTACGCCTTATGACATGTGATATAGAGGTACTGTGGACTCCTTTTAACAAAACATCCCTTGCTGTGTCCCTGTGTGCTGGCCCAGCCTTGAAGGCTACTGTGGTCCCTGCTGGTCCAGTGACCCTGCAGCACTCCGTCACTGTTCTGCTGCTTGCATGGCAATGCAGCAAGATGATGGGAGTTATTCCCTGGAGAAATGGCATGAAGTCATTTCTACTGTGTGGTGGCTAGGATGCCTGTTGCTACAAATTTGCCTAAAATATGGCCTCGGGACTGTTCCCAGTGAGTAAAATGGCTGCAATTGTCCTGGTTTGAGAGGAAAAAGAACACTAGTGCTGCGAGCCGTGCTGGGTTGCATCCCCTGCTCTTAGGGGCTAGAGAATGAGCCCTGGCTCTGTTTGGCTCACTGGTCGGGGGGCAGCTTTGCTATCTTGCTGCCATGGTAATATGCTCACTGCTTGGAGGAAGCTGCATCAAACAGTTTCTGCAAATGCACTTACAGAACTGTAAAAAAAAAACCTGCATGAGACGATGGTCATCTCAGCAAGAGTGTGAGCCATCCTGATGAAGAAATGGCATAAAGCATTGTCCCAGATCGGAATACCTCTTTCTGTTTGGCGCTTCTTAGTTTTTCTTGACAGTAGTATGAGGCAATGAGGCAATGTTTCAACATCTTTCTCTTAAGTCCAACTGTGTGTTTGACTTCAGACTTAGTTCTGGACAGCCAGATGCAGTCATTTCTATTTCTTTCTGTATGTTGCCATGTTTATACCTAGCAGCAGAAAAAAAAAAAAAAAAAGGTCCAAATTTTATTTATTTCAGATGTGGGCTTTTTAAATGGTCAAAGAAGATTTTCTTATGCTGAATTCTTGTAAGATTTTAGGTAACATATTAGAAAAGAGCAGGTTTAAACATACATTTGAAATGTATAAGTGTCTAATATGCATTATATTTAAAATACGCATATAACCTAAACAGCATATTCAGTGTTAATGTTGGGTAGAAGGATACATTTCTCACTAAATTTCAGGAAAAGTTGTTCCTGTTTGTCTGAAGAAGTTGTTTGCTGTGTTTTAGATTTTCACATGCTGAAATAAAATGCTTATATCTGGTTTGTTCTGGGATGTGCACTATTTGGGAAGTTTCAGAATCTTATTTTAAAAAAATAAGTCAGGTCTTTATACATATGGGAAAAAATTCTTATTACACTGAAACTTATTACCTCTTAAACAAAATGTCAGGAACAATGGAGATACTGTGACATTGGTTTTCAGCTGCAAGCATGACATTGCTTCATTTTCCTTACACTTCCTTCTTTCCTATATACTTTCTGACTTTTCCATTCCTTTATAAAGCTTTTTTTCTTTATGTGACATTTTAATTACAGGGCAATAAAGGAAATTAAGAAAATAACTGTGGCAACAAAAGTTAGATTTTTATATTTTTATATACATATACATGTGGGTTTGTGCAAATTTTTTTCAGTAGGAAAATACACATATTTGTTTGAACATTTGGTTTCAGAATAAAATATACTTTAAATTCATGCAGCTATGTAAATTGCACATCAGGAGATTGTCTTCAGGAGGTTTCACATTTATCTAGGGCTGTACACGGTTGTATCGGATTTAGTACTTCAGGATTTTATATTGTAGAATAAGGCAGTACTATGCCATGTTTTAATATTTAATCTGACATGTGGAGGGCATTGCCGATTATACTGAGCAAGAGTCTCCCATTGTTTCCTTGAATCCCATCTATCATCTGTGAATTTGTTTTCCTTATATTGTAAGTACTGTGGGGCAAGGTCTTGCCAAAACATCTCAGTTGCTGTGACAATCATAATAACAATGTTAGTTATTTTGCGTAGCAACAAAAAAAGACTTTGCTCTTCAGTCTTCTTCCAATGACATGTTTTATTTCAGCCAAACACAACAAAACTCTCAAGACTTTTGAGTGACATCCTAAGTGTGTACTTTACCTGTGAGGTGCAATCAGAAAATACATAGTTAATATAATAATCATTATTTTAATGCATAATGTTTTCCTTGTGGTACAAACAGGAAACAGTTTAAATTATTAATATTATTTGTGACATGAATTATTTAACAATGTCTGAGAGATTTAAAACACATCTCAAGGTGATACCTGAAGGACAGTTTTGAGAGCGTTTTCATCCTAAGATGTTTTCATGTTGACAGCTATGGCAGTAAGAACTTCAAAGAATTTTAGATCTTACGTAAAAGTTTTAGAGTCTCAGATCATTGACTGGAATGTGCTCACGCCATTAAAACTTTTTTAATCTTAATCTCTTTCAGTCCCAGCAAAGATGCATTGTGATCTTTGCACTGGTATGCTGCTTTGCAATTCTGGTTGCACTGATATTTTCGGCAGTGGATATTATGGGAGAAGATGAGGATGGACTCTCAGAAAAGAACTGTCAAAATAACTGTCGGTAAGAGGTAACAAACAAAACTTCTCCTTTGGGGTAAACAAGAACATATATGTGTTATATAATGGCATGTAGTAATTACCATAGTCCTGTGGTATAATTGGGAAGAGTAGGTAACAGAGGAGGAAATGATTTCTTGTTTTGAATTTCTGGTTTTGGAGGTTGGTTTGACTGACAAAATAAAACACACTCTTTGAAGTTATTTTTGATGGTATGTTTTGAGCAAGACCCTTGTGTTAGTTCAATTATTTTGTAAGCCTGGGTCAAAGCCCATTAAATTTCAGTAAATGAGTATTGAGGTGCTCACATAGTTCCCAGTTCTGTTATGTCTTTCGTCAAGAGCTTATTTCTTTCTCCAAGAAGGTCACTGATCACTTTTGACCTAAGACTGCTGTCCCTTGTATATAGGACAACCTTTTATATGTATTCCTGTTTTTTGCACTCCCCTAAGAGACACAGTGGCTTGACTAGGAACTGTGAAGAAAATTATTGATACCGTCAGAAAGATTGGAGTATTGACTATGTTGGATTAAGGTTTGCCTCAGACGCCTGCCATGGTTGTGTTTATCTCTTAACTTTAGATTTAAGGAGGTGATTTGATTTCTTGGGCCTTTCATTTCCAGACTGTGAATTTCATTTTGCTGCTTTTCACTGTCAGGCTCCTCCATGAATCTGTTCATCAGCAATAACCAGTGCTTTTCCTGCATGGCATTGTCCACGGTCCTCTTCTGTTCACCAGTAAGGCTGATTTAACAGACATCTGTAGACGTCATTCACAATTGTATTCTGCTTTTTTCCAAGGCTTTAACTTGTATATAGAGCACACTCTCCAATTCATTTTGTGGAAGAACAGTCATCCTTAAGTAACTTCTCATAAATCCATTCTAATCTGATCAGGGAGTTGCTGGAATGGGAAGGGGCCTCTGGGCATTCTCCACTCTGTTCTCCTGCTCCATGCAGGGTCAGCTACAGCAGGTTGCTCAGTGACATGCCCAGTCAGGGTTTGCATAACTCCAGGGATGGACTCCACACCCTTCCCGGGCAACCTCTTCCATTGTTTGTACAGAATCTACCCAGCTACCAGTGGCTGGGTATACAGTGAGTTGGAGACAATTGATATTTATTTTTTAGAATAATCTAATGAAAAATTAATGTTACTTTGAGCCTTTCCTCCTTATTTCTGCTATTCTATGTTGATTTTGTGTGAAAACTCTTTGGGGACAGTGCCTTTCTGTGCTGCACCCATCACAGTGCAGTCAGCAGTGATCCACAATCCAGCAAACTGGATTATATTTTTGCAATTTTACTGAATTTTTACAGTATTTTTTTACATGCTGCTTAAAAAAAAAAAAAAAAAAAAAAAAAAAAGATTCTTTAAATTTGTAGCCCCCTTTCAAATAGGACCTGCATCATCAGGTAGCTTTGTCCTGAAACCAACCATTCTTCTGGCACTTTTTCCCCAGCATTGTTTTGTTTTGTAAAATGGCTTGGCCCTAATCTGTTCACTTTCTTGTACGCCTACAGTTCTGGGCAGCCTTCTAATATCTTGTCTGAATTTTCTTTCTTAGCTTTTCTTTCCCCATCAGGGTCTTGGGTATTCTTCACTGTGAGTTGTTGCCTTCCAAAACTTTTAAAGATACTGCATGTGTCACCTCTACACCCACTATCTCCATGTGTGAATCTTTGACAGAACTAGGTCAGATGAGGGGAAAGTTTTTCTGCCTCATTGGCTTCAAGGTGCTGCACACGACTTCAACACATGCAACAACTACTGCACCATGTTTTCCTCTTAGTTTTATCAACTAGCGGCTCCAATTTTGTTCTGGGTAGCAGCATTGGCCTAGCCAAGGAAGAACTTAATCTTCTTCACTTTGTATTCTTCGAATGTTAAAAAATTCAGAGTGGGAGCGATGTGTAGTGCTATGGAAAACTGGGATATTAGTTTTTCCACATGTAAGAGATTAATTTATTTTGTCTTTTTATATGGGTTGCACCAACCTGCCTTTCCAAAGAATACTCACCTTTGCTCAGTTTTTTGTTGGGGTTGGTGTGTGTGTCTTGCCTTTCCTGGACTGTGTTAGAGGAGCCTGGGAGTAAATCCAGCACACTGACTTTAAACATAAGAGTCAGTGAAACTGCTCTGTGTTTACAGTGATAAAAGTGATCTCAGACCCCAGCTCTATTTTAAGGTACCTTTCACAGAGTGATTCAAGTGCGTGATCTAGCTACTAATGCCTGAACCAGAAGGCGCATCAATGCTGTGTGTATAAACTGCCTAAACCATTTCTAATAACAGTATCAAAGTGCTGGCAGCTGCTACCTGCTAACATTGAATCCTTCTCTACGTGATGAAACTAGGCTCCTTTATGTGTTAAATATATTGCAGACTTAACTGAAGTGCTGTAAGATCAATTGCTGCCTCTGGCATCTATTTAGTACTTGGGGTAAGCACTTTTAATAAGTAAGACAAGAATTATTGAATTCTTATATTTCTGCTGTGTGAGTACTTTCACTGAAATTCAGGAACAGGCGCTTACGTTTGCAGGATGTGCTGAGACAGAATGGTAATAGATGGTCCTTTTTTTTATTTTTTTCTCTTTTTTAGGTGAAATAATTGTCAAATACAAGTTTACATATGTGATCCTAGAGTTCTTTTGTGTTTTTAATTGATCAAATTTGCGAAGAAGCTTGTTGGGAAAGGTTTCTGTTAATATGAGAACCTCACTGATGATTTGTTAAAGGCTTTTGTCTTCTGAAAATCAATTTCACTTCTGCCTTTTTATTTTAAAGGAAAATATGTCTGAAATAGAGCTGTGGTGTAGAATATTTCTTTGACTAGAAATTTTTGGAGCTTGTGCCAAAAAATAGCAAGTGAGAATTTTTTTAAAAGAGAGAGTAAGTAAGAGGAGGACATTTTTAGAAGTCTAGAGCTTTTTGTAGCCTGAGAGAGAAATCATTGAGGTAAATTGTCAGCAGTAGTTTCCAGTAAAGCCTACATCTTTTTTTGTTGTTGTGACTGTATTGTTGTTCATGAATACAAATTCATCCTTTCTGATCTGCTTGTTGTAATTCAACTTGAGGTTCCTCTTCAGTTAATCATTCCTTAGACTCTTACTACATAAGGAATACTTACTGCATATGTTGCCAAAAAGACCTTCCTCTTTACTGATGCATTTATTTCTCTTGGGGGCTTTGTAACAAAAACAAGTCTGGGAAGTGGAAAAGCAGGCTTTCTTGCATATCTTCACCGATTGCTGAAGGGATTGTTGCCACCCATCTAAAAGGGTGCATAGGAAATAGCGCTTTTTGAAGAGATGAAAATACGTTTGAAACTAAAATTATGAATTATCATTTGTAATGCTTTGAGCTTCTTGCCGAAAAACTCAGCCTGTGGTTGAGAACCGAAATGCATCTTGCTTTACAGGTTATTTGTGACTGCCACGATGCAAACTCAGATTGCTGTGGGCTGCATTTCCCATTTTGTTTGCTACACGGAGGAACTTGATATTCAATAATACTAAGTAGAATATTCAAGAGGAACTTGAATATTTGAGATTTAACTAAAAAATCACTGAAATTAATTTTTTTGTCTTTTGACATTTAGATACAGAAACAATTTTTTTTTAGCCTGCTCTGCAGGTTATAATCCAAAAATACACAGAGGTGATTTAAAAGAATTTACAACCCTGTCCTAATAATTCAGGGCTAATATTAGGGCAAAGAAATGTACTTACCAGATTAATTGACAAGCACCACTATAAAAACTACTGTGTCTTCTACTGATGCATACATTGCAATTCAAATAACTGCGGGGAGATGGAGGAAGGTCTGTAAAATTTATCAGGCAGACAAATTCTGGCTTCAGAATTGAAATTAGAATCTGGAGTCTACTGGCTGGAAAACTGTATTGGTGTAGATGAAATAATGCTGTTCGTACTTATTTACACTGTCACATATAACTTTGATAATGTATATTATATGTGGAGAGACTGGCTGACTGAAAGTAGACTTTTTATGTTATTTTTTTACAACTGGACCAGGTCTGATAAGAGGCAGCTTTTCACTTCAGAGGGTGCTAGGCACTCTTGGCTTCATTCCACAAAATTTTATTTCAGAATGCTAGACTTAAATACAAATGGCGTTTGACCCTTTCTATTAAAAGGAATGTCAACTGATTGACATTTAAGGAATAAAAAAAGTACTAATGAGTGTGAAAAGTTAGGTTTTTGCAGTTTGTGTTTGGTATGGGATACAAATAATTGTCTTGAGACACTCACGTTAATGTTGTTAGGCAGCCCTGATGGATGAGACTGGTTAAGAGGATATGCTTAGCAGCCTGGGAGTTTTGCCTGTCTTGCTCAGGGTCCATTAGACACTGCATCTATAAATTTAGATTATTGCAATTTGAAAATTGTACTTTTTAATGGCAAATCTATTATGCCTAAATCTTAGCTAGCTTCTGACTTAACAACAGTCAAGACTTGGCTTTGTTCAAACTGGCTGATAAACTCTAAAAACTGCAATCTGGGAAACAGAAGAAATTACAACTATTAAGAGATGGTCTCTGTTACCCAAAGTGTTTGAACCAAGGTCATTATGATTTATTACCAGTAGCTTCAGCTGTTCAGTATGCTTCTTCTCCTGCTTGTTACTGCTGATAGTCATGCTAGGGTTCCTACAGAGCTTGCACATACCCTTAATTATCCTTGTCTCACCAGCTTTTCCAATATCTATTGAAGCGGTAGTAGCAGCTGGCATAGCTCCTGCCCCTGGCTGTGGGCTTGGCTCTGTCTCTTGAGAGGGGCTAAGGAACAGCAGTGTGGAAAAGGAAGCGAATAATTTTTTTTTTTTTTTTTTTTTTCAAATTTCATCTTTCTCTGATAATTGGACGATTTTCTTGTTTTGTGTGTGGCAAAGCTGTTTAGTTCACCTAGTGATTGTAGGCAGGCTCTGACCAATTCTGCCCTATAGCATATGGGTGGTGATACTTAGGCAGTGTTTAT